GGCGGCCGGCAGCCAGGCAGCTGGAAGCAAACATGAGGCTTGCTTGCTTCAGTGAAGGAGGACTCCAACGTTCCCCGCCTGCCTTGCCGGCCTCTGAGCTGGCAGTTTGAAACATTGTAACAAATATAGAAGCTAAACAAAACCCCAGAAACCAGCTTTCAGCCGGCCGAGATCTCAGAGCTGGAGATGATACAGTGTTTCGATTATAGAACCGAAACAAACCAGATACCTGCTTTCAGCAGCAGAGGCCTTGGCCCAGAATAAAAAAAAAAAGAAAAAAAGGAGTGGTTGGGAGCTTCAGTCACCCACCAGCCTGAAAACAGCCCTCAGCCCCTCACCCAGACTGGCCAGGCACCCCAGTGGGGACCCCCACCCTGAAGGGTGTGTGACCAGCTGCAAACAGCCATCATCCCCTCAGCCAGGCTGGCCAGGCACCCCAGTGGGGACCCCCACCCTGATCCAGGACACCCTTCAGGGCAAACCAGCCAGACCCTACCCGTGCACCAGGCCTCTATCCTATATAGTAAAAGGGTAATATGCCTCCCAGCACTGGGATCAGCGTGACAGGGGGCAGCACCCAAACCCCCTGATCGCCCTGCAGCTCTGTGTGTGACAGGGGGCAGGGCCACAACCTCCCTATCCTCCCTGCTCTGTTCCTGACAGGGAAAGGCGCCCCAACCCCCTGATCAGCCCTGCTCTGTGCCTGATAGGGGGGAGCTCCCCAACCCCCTGATCGCCCTGCGGCTCTGTGTGTGACAGGGTGCCGGTCCACAACTTCAATATCAGACATGCTCTGTTCATGACAGGAGAAGGCGCCCCAATTCCCTGATCACCCAAAATGTGTGCAGCATTCGGGGGAGCTCCCCAACCCCAAGTCGCCCTGCGGTTATAAGATAGACAAGGTGGGGCGCCCCAACCCGCCCCTCTCCTGGGGCCTTGCTCTGTGTGTGACGGGGTAGAGCCATAACCTCCCCATCGGCCCTGCCCTGAGTGTGAGAGTGGCGGCGCCCAACCCCCTGATCGCCTGCTCTGTGTGTGACAGGGGGCGGTGCCCCAACTCCCCTATCGGCCCTACTCTGTGCGTGACAGGGGGGAGCTCCCCAACCCCCTGATGGGCCCTGCTCTGTGCGTGACAGGGGGGAGCTCCCCAACCCCCCTGATGGGCCCTGCTCTGTGCGTGACAGGGGGGAGCTCCCCAACCCCCTGATCGACCCTGCTCTGTGCATGACAGGGTACGGAGCCCCAACCCCCCTGATTGGCCCTGCTCTGTGCGTGACAGGGGGGAGCTCCCCAACCCCCTGATTGGCCCTGCTCTGTGCGTGACAGGGGGTGGCGCCGCAACCTCCCCATCGACCCTGCCTTGAGTGTGACAGGGGGAGGTGCCCCAACCCCCCAATCGGCCCTACCCTGAGCGTGACTGAGGGTGGCGTCGCAACTTCCCAATCCGCCCTGCTCTGTGCATGACAGGGGGCAGCACCCCAACTCCCCAACTGGCCCTGCTCTGAGCCCGACCAGGGGCTGCACCTAGGGATTGGGCCTGCCCTCTGCCACCCGGGAGCAGGCCTAAGCCAGCAGGTCGTTATCTCCCGAGGGGTCCCAGACTGCGAGAGGGCACAGGCCGGGCTGAGGGACCCCCCCTCCCCCCCCCGAGTGCACAAATTTTTGTGCACCGGGCCTCTAGTATAGATAATAAAAGCCTAAGCAACCGTTACGGTGGAACAGAACAACCAGTCACTATGATGCACACTGACCACCAGGGGTCAGGCGCTCAATGCAGGAGCTGGCCCCTGGTGGTCAGTGTGTTCCCACAGGGGAGCGCTGCTCAGCCAGAAGTCGGGCTTATGGCTGGCGAGTGCAGTGGCAGTGGCAGGAGCCTCTTCTGTCTCCACGGCAGCGCTAAGGAGCAGCAAGTGGAGTGGTAAGGAGCATCGAGTAGGTGAGTGGTAAGGAGTGAGGGGTCCCGGACTGCAAGAGGGTGCAGGCCGGGCTGAGGGACCCATCCCCACCCCCCAGTGCATGCATTTCGTGCACTGGGGCCTCTAGTAAAGAATAATTTACAGGGATTCAACAGTAGAGTAGAGGATTCTGAGAATCAAATCAACAATTTCAAATTGAGGAAGCAAAAAATACCCTATCAGAAGAGCAAAAAGAAAAAATACAAACGTATGAAGATAATATAAGGAGCTTCTGGGACAATTTCAAGTGTATCAACATTTGTATTATGTGTGTGCCAGAAGGAGAAGAGAGAGAGCAAGATATTGAAAACCTATTTGAATAAATAATGACAGAAAACTTCCCAACCTGGCAAAAAAAACCTGGTGAAAGAAATAGACTTAGAAGTCTAGGAAGCCCAGAGAGTTCCAAACAAGAGGAACCCAAAGAGGTCCACACCAAGACACATAATAATTAAATGCCAAGGGTTAAAGACCAAGAGAGAATCTTAAAAGCAGCAAGAGAAAAGCAGTTAGTTACCTACAAGGGAGGGCCCATACAACTGCCAACTAATTTCTTAACAGAAACTTTGTAGGCCAGAAGGGCATGGCAAGAAATATTCAAAGTGATGAATAGCAAGGACCTACAACCCAGATTACTCTACCCAGCAAAGCTATTTGAATTGAAAGTCAGATAAAGAGCCTCACAGACAAGAAAAAGCTAAAGGAGTTCATCATCACCAAACCAGTATTACATGAAATGTTGAAGGGTATTCTTTAATAAGAGGAAGAGGAAGAAGAAGAAGAACAAGAAGAAGGAGGAGGAGGAGGATTAAAAATATGAATAATAAAATGGCAATAAATACATATCTATCAACAATTGAATCAAAAAATCAAAATAAATGAACAAGGAATCTAATGAACATAATAAACTGATGAATAAAAAAGAACCAGAGGCATGGAAACATGGAACAAACTGATGAATCTCAGAGGGAAGGGGGGAGTGAGGAGTGGGGAGAGATTAACCAAAGATCTTATATGCATACTAGAGGCCCAATGCATGAAATTCATGCAAGGGGCTTGGCCCTCGCAGCCGTGGCAGCTTGCCTCAGCTTCATCTGGAAGGATGTCTGGTCTAATTAGCATATTACACTTTTATTATTATAGATATACACTACCTATGGACATAGACAATAGGGTGGTGAAGGTCTGGGATGGAGTAGGAACTGGATGGAGTGGGGCAGTGGGGGGAAAATGGGGACATCTGTAATACTCTCAACAATAAAGATTAAAAACAAACAGAAGAAAAAGAGTAGCATTTCTCTCGCAATTTCAAAAGCAAGTTTAAAATAAAGAGTACAGGGGAAAAAGTACAAAAAAGCTGAAATAGCATCCTAAAAATGGATAAAAAACAAAGTAATACAAACTTGTTGGGAACAACAATATAGGATGCTTATCCTCTTTGAAGGGGCAAACATGCAAAAAAAAAAGGCTCATGAAAATAAAGGAAGTGGAAAAGAAAGTAAACATAGGCTAATTAGAAGTTAGAGAGCATTGTTAGTAATCAGCTGATCATATAGCTGTTGGTGTTAGTTGGTGCCTGAACTCCAGACCCACTTTTTCAACGACCTATTGAATATCTCTTCTTGGGTATGCCATAAGTGTCTCAAATTCAATAGGTCAAGATCTGAAAAAATCATCTCTGCACTTCTCCCTACCACTCCAAGTCTGTTTCTTCTGTGTTTCCCTATTATGGAGTATTATAATCTTACTCATCTAGTCCCCCTATTTTAAATATATATTTTTATTGATTTCAGAGAGAAGGGAGAGTGAGAGAGAGAGAGAGATAGAAACATCAATGATGAGAGAGAATCATTGATAGGCTGCCTCCTTCATGCCACACACCGGGGATTGAGCCCACAACCCAGGCATGTGCCCTTGACTGGAATTGAACCTGGGACCCTTCAGTCCACAGGCCAATGCTCTATCCACTGAGCAAAACCAGTTAAGGCTAATCCCCCTATTTTAGAAATGTAAACATCATCCTTGATGTTTCTTATTTTACTCCTATATCTGATCAACCAACAAGACCATTCTTCCCCTTGATAGTTCTCATATATAGTTATCTCTCTGTCGTAATTCTATTTATTTAGACCAGGGGTTGGCACACTTTTTCTGTAAAGGGCCATATAGTATATACTTTAGGCTTTGCAGGCCATATGGTCTTTGTCACAATCACTGTAGCTTTAAAGTAGCCATAGACAATATGTAAATGAATGGATGTGGCTGTTTCCCATCAGACTTTATTTATAGATACTGAACTTTGAATTTCATATAATTCATGAAATATTATTCGTCTTTTGATTTTTTTTACTATCTAACCATTTACAAATATAGAAACCCATTATGGGGGATCACCTTGTAAGTTACATAAATGTTTAATCACTATGTTGTACACCTGAAACTAATATAACATTGAATGTCAACTGCAATTGAAAAGTGTAAAAAAAATTTTAATGTAAAAGCCATCCTTAGCTAGCCATCCCTACAAAAACAAGCAGAAAACCAGATTTGGCTTACAGGCCATAGTTTGCCCAACCCTGGTTCAGACATTTTCTCTCATATGAAATACAACAGTAATCTCCTACTCTCCTAGATTACAGTGACCACAAAAATGAGTCCTATGTGATAATATCTGTCAGTCTATGAAAGCTTGATAATTATTAATTACTTTTGGTTTGATATTAATTCAAGCAATTCTTTTTTTAATGCAGAGTTAGTAAGAGGTCTCTTCTAGTAAGATTTTGAAAAAACATGCCATTAAGCAATATTCAACTGAAACTTTAAAACTTTTGAAAGTTATTATACTGTATATTAAGTAAAATGAATAAATTATTATAAAATCAGAATTTATCCCTAATTCTTTTTGGAAAGAGGTGATATATACTGTATATATAATAAGGATTTTTCTTTTGCGTTTATGATCAAGCTCAAAGTGAATGTGAGAAAAAAGTAAATGTGAGCAGAACTATGTATTCTTTACTAAAATGAGAACTTAATTTTTTTCAGGTTAAACTACAGAGCAACATATCATATCAGATGGCAGACATACATCATTTAAAGGGTAAGAAACTTAATTACAGATTAAAGAGAAACAAAGGTCACTAAATATCTAAAATCCTCAAGAATTTAGAATAATAAAACAGCTAAATGAAAATTTTTGAACAACGTTCCTCAAATGGCAAAACATTTATTCTTTTGTCTTAAGATATAATAAAATGTTTTAATATTGCTTTATATATAATAAATGCAAGTTAAAATTTGAGGCCAGTCCCCAGCCAGTGTGGCTAACTGATTGAGCATTGACCCAGAAACCAAAAGGTCACTGGTTCAATTCCTGGTTAGGGTGCATGCCTGGGTTGTGGGCACAAGCCCCAGTAGGGGGTGTGCAGGAGGCAGCGGATTGATGATGTGTCCCTCTCATCAATGTTTTTATTTCTCTATCCCTTTCCCTTCCTCTCTCTCTAAAAATTGATAAAAACATATATAAATGTATTTTAATTTGAGGCCAGCATTTTAATCTTGTGCTGTACACAGAGTTCATTCAATGAAATGTTGTTCAAAGAATTCTCTAAGAAAGTTGAGCTGTAGCTTCAGAAACCATGAAATTTCTAGGGGAAAGGTAAGGGGTTATCCCTCTGTATTGTGCCATATCTGCTAAAATAATTCATTCAGGTCTAGGGATGCTTTGGACAGGTCCTCCAAGCTTAATGTTTTAGATATCTTGGAAACAGAAGGAAACCTGGGAAGATATGTATATTTTCATTTAGATGAAGTGATAGGAGATAACCAAACCTTTTATGGGAAATAATAGGTAAGGAGAAGAAGCTCTATGCTTTTTGACATTACTTCACATCATCTCTGGCTTTTGGAGTTTGGAGTCTTGAGGATCACCCTTCTTCTTCCTCACAATCCTTTTGTTATGACACCTTGTATTTTAAAACTTTGCATGCAGTGACTTTAAGTTTATATATATGGGTAATACATGTCTCTAATTTCATAAATATATCTTTATTCTATAACCATTTTTAACCCTTTTGATAGAATTAGATAGTATATTTTTATCATCCTCTTGGAGAAGCCAACCAGAGCTGGTTCTGTAATTTATTGAAGTTTTGCTTTCACCTAGCAAAACCATTAGGAAGTGTGATTGGTGTGTTGTAACGCAAAAACAGGAATTATTAATTTTTTACTGTCTGTGATTTAGAACAGCTTTGATTTTTTTATTAGAAATTTGTTTCTTGGGGTGGCTGCATTTATTTTTGTTGAATTTGTGTCCATGTTCTGCTCTTTTTGACTCACAGAGTGCATTGGGATTACACAAGAAGATGCCACACTCTCAGTGCTGCTTCCAGCTTGCAATTTTTATTTGTTATTTATTTTTAATTTTTTAAATTGATTTGAGAGAGAGAGGAGAGAGAGAGAGAGAGAGAGAGAGAGAGAGAGAGAGAGAGAGAGAAGCATCAATTTGTTGTTCCACTTATTATTCATTCATTGGTTGGTTCTTGTATGTACCCTGACCAGGATTGAACCTGCAACCTTGGCATATTAGACAATGATCCAACCAATTGAGCTAACCAGCCAGTGCCCAACTTGCAATTTTTACAAATGATTCTGCTTGTCATCAAAGTATATTTCTCATTTAATGTAGTAGATCAATTGAATAAGAAATCTTGTGGCTTTTGCTAGTATATGTCAAAGAAAATGACAGCCTATGTTACTGAGTAAAAATCTTTATTGTACCATATGCATTGAAGTATTAGTAGATCTTAAGATGTTTTGAAATTTTATATGAAATTTTCTTCATCAGAGAAAAAAAGCTTTGTTTGAACTCATAACTGTACAACTTTTGATTTTGGTGCAGTTTTAAGATTGACTTTTATTAATGTGACTTTTGTGCCTTGGCAACTATTTCTACTGAAATAAACTTTTTAAAAAAAAATAATTCTTTATTGTTGAAAGTGTTACGTATGTCCCCCTTCTTTCCCCCCATTGACTGCCTCCAACCTGCCCCCGCCCCTAATTCACCCCCACCACCACCACCACCACCAAGGCCCTCACTGCCCATTGTTTGTGGCCATGGGCCATGCATATATGCATACAAGGTTCTTCGTTGATTACCCCCCACCCACCCACCCTTCCCCCGCCTTCCCTCTGAGATTCCACACTCTGTTCCATGCTTCCATGTCTCTGGATCCACTCCATTCATCAGTTTATTTTGTTACTTAGATTCCACATATGAGTGAGATCATGTGATACTTGTTTTTCTCTGACTGACTTATTTTACTTAGCATGATACTCTCCAAGTCCTTCCAGGCTGTCTCAAAGGATAAGAGATTCTTCTTTTTTACTGCTGCAAAGTATTCCATGGTATAAATGTACCACAGCATTTTTATCCACTCATCTACTGTAGTTGAAATAAACTTCTTGATAAGTTGACTATAAACCCACATTTGACTATTTTATTGAAATTAATATTGGATATAATGGAATTAATAAACACTAAGACCCTAAAAAATCCTTTATGGTAGTTAATATTTTCATGGAAATAAAAGGAATGGAAGTTGGTTTTTAATTCCTGATATAATAAATTAATATTCTAGTATACACTGATTTATTTTGAATAGCACACCTTATTTTTATGCTTATTACTGAAAGAAAATTTGAAATCAAAATTTTGCTTGAAAGCTGGTTCTAGGCCATCCCTTTCTTAACTATATCCCCAATCTTTTGATGTTAAATTGAGGGAGTTTGGCCATACCTTTCTATAACATACCCTGGTGTTATTGTCTGAGATAGAACATCCTGCGCAATCAACCATGGACCTGATCTCACGTTAAGTTATCTACTCTGGAAGTCCTGCTGTGGTGACCTGTATCAGTCACAACAGATATAGAGTATTTTGGGTTTTAAAATTAAAAAAAACAACACCACCACATTTCCATCAGTTGAAAGTAAATTTGTAATATAGGAAAATTTTATCTTTAGTTTTGCTTTCATTTCTGTTTACTTTCCCTTTTCATGCCCTTGTTTTGACCACTCAAAATACTAAATTAATTCTCAGCTTTATAATCTTTTGCCTATATTCAAACAAGAAAGAATCTGGTATTTTACATGAACTGGAACTCATTTATAATGATGTTTTATTTTTGTTTGTTAGTTGTATTGTAAGACTTTAGCTCCGTTTAGAAATGAAAACTGTATTTCCTGATAAAGAAATTTCAAATAGCCTGGCTGGTGTGACTCAGTGGTTGAGCATTGACCTATGAACCAGGAGGTCAGGGTTCAATTCCAGGTCAGGGCACGGGCCCCACTTGCAGGCTCAATCCCCAATGGGGGGCGTGCAGGAGGCAGCCGATCAATGATTTTCTTTCATCATTGATGTTTCTAACTCTCTCTCCCTCTCTGAAATCAATAAAAATATATTTCAAAAGTAAATTTCAAATATTATTAGAAGTTTATGGAGAGACAGAGAAGCCATCCTAAATCTTGAAACATATCAAGCCTCAGGTTCTTTCTGAAGGTAAAGTTAGCTTACTTCACTTATTTACTGTGTAGGCAAAAGAAGCCTGAATGAGGCCTAAATATCACCAATTGAAGTCCATTCTAATAGCTGCTAGGTAGAGCTGATTTATATAAATTGCAGTAATTTTTAGTTCTAGAATCTTTCTTGCTTGAACATAGGTTCTCTGAACTGGCTAACTTTGTAAGCTACAAGGCTTTTTGTCACTGCTGCCTGCTGGGACCTCATTGTCTCTGTAGACTCAATATCCATAGCTGAGGTCAGAGTTTCTGCTACCTCTAGCCCTCTGTATTTTAGGAGATGGTGCCAGGGATCAGATATCAGTCTGAATGTGTTATTCAGGGATGTCTGGCCTCAGATTTGTTACTTTTATCTAAAGTGGGGGTAATGGGTAAAAAACTGTGGAGATCAACTATGTTTATACTAGAGGCCCGGTGCAAGAAATTCGTACATTGGGGGGGGCCCTCAGCCAGGCCTGCACCCTCTCCGATCTGGGACCCCTGCAGCGGTTCTCAACCTGTGGGTCACGACCATCGGAAAACACATATAGCATATCAGATATTTACATTATGATTCATAACAGTAGCAAAATTACAGTTATGAAGTAGCAATGAAAATAATTTTATGGTTGGGATCACCACAACATGAGGAACTGTATTAAAGGGTCGCAGCATTAGGAAGGTTGAGAACCACTGCCTTAGGGGATGTCTGACTGCCGGTTTAGGCCCGATCCCAGGCCAGCAGGGGAGGGCAGTTGGGGGCTACCAGACCTGCAGGGAGGGCAGTTGTGGGGGACCAGGCCTGTAGGGGAGGGCAGTTTGGGGCGACCAGGCCTGCAGGGAGGGCAGTTGGGAGCAACCAGGCACCTCTATCATCTCACATGTAACGAATGCTACAGTGGTAATCATTTCACAGTATATAAGTGAATCAAATCAACATATTGTATACCTTAAACTTACACAGTGTTATATCTCAATTAAAAATTTTTAAAATAAATAAAAATATAGCTTGAATACATAAACATATTTATTAAATACAAGATTTTATGTGAATCATTTACTTTTCATACCTGATTATTATATTATGCAATAACTATTATTATGCATATTTTTAAACTTTTTTATATACCTCAGCAAATATTCATGTGACTTCAAAATTTTTATTGTCATTGCTAAATATAATCTTTGATATATTTTCTATTTTAGCCTATTTTTTACATTATATTTCTATGTAATTATATTATAAATATAAGTTTAATTCTGCTTTTTTATTGTTGATACTATTATAGATGTCCTTCCTTTTCCCTTCCTTTACCTACCTCCACCCAGCCCCTACCTCCAATTCCTCTGGCCATGACCACACTATTGACTGTGTCCATGGGTTGTGTATATACATCTGCTTTTTGGTGTGCGCTATGAAGTTCCAACCAACTGAACCACCCAGCCAGGGCTACTTCTGTTTTTTAAGAACTTATATCCCGAACAATTTTGGAGTGCCTTTAAAGTACTAAGACTAATTCTATAAGCCTTTATAAAAGGTAGATGTTTTATTATAACTATAATATTGGTACATTATGGGTAGACATATTTTAGTCTTAATAGATGTTGCTTATACAGAGTAGAACTCTGTTCTTATTTTTAAAAATTAAGACTTACTTAACTACTACTTTTGCTTAACTGCTAAGGCTGTTAACTAATTTTTAATCACCTAAGAACATGGCATTCCTCTGCTGACCTCTTAGTTGTGGGGTTAGATGAAGGAAAGGCTCTAGAATGTGGGCCACTTATTAGGGATAAATGTTTACAAAAGAGCATCTGGCCCAGCTTTTAATTTGCTTTACAGCTCATTTCATATCATTCGTTATAACTAAAACTTTTAGCCCTAGCCCAGAAATTACGAGCTTTGAAAATAGATTTTGGTATGTGTGGACCTAGCATCAGTAGCAGAACTAGAAGTAAGATCTAATGTGATTAACACCTAAGTTGGAAGTCAAATGTGATTTAAAATGAAAAAGAAAACTTGAATTTTGTACCCATAGCAAACATCTAAAAAATATTATTTTCTCACCTACTTTTATTTATTTTTTATTGATCTTAGAGAGAGGAAGGGAGGGAGGGAGGGAAAGAGGGAGGGAAAGAGGGAGAGAGAGAGAGAGATTGCCTTTCGAACATGCCCCACCAGGGATCAAACCCACAACTTGATTATGTGCCCTGACCTGGAATTGAACCCGCCACCTTTTGGTGTACGGGAAGACACTCCAATCAACTGAGCCACACAGGCCAGAGCTTCCTGCCTACTTTTATAAAGCAGGTTTAAAGGGGTAGGTAGATATTTTTTGGTACTGTTTTCTCAGCTTGTATGTCTACATAATGTGAAAAGATGTGTAATTTTTTAATATTTCTGATTAATGTGAAAACCACTGAGGCTATCTTGTTTTAAAAATAAATTTTATTTGCCCATGCATGTGTTATGAAAGGCAATTAATGGGCTGCTAATTATATAATTTAACTGAATAAAGAAAATGAAAAGTATATTTAATTCCCCTCCCCCCCGGCCCCACCCCCATGCTTGTGTCCAAGACCTGACACTGAGAGCCACCATCAGGCGGTCAGTGTGGTGGCAGTGGGGCTGCTGTAGCACTGGAATGTAATTTTTAAAAATCCCATAACTTCTCACTAGGGCTCATTGAAGTGAGTAAACTTTATTCCTTTGATTCTTATGTGGCTAGAGCAACTTGCTGAGCTTCGTCAGGAGTTTCTTCGACAAGAAGACCAGCTTCAGGACTATCGGAAGAACAATACTTACCTTGTGAAGAGGTTAGAATATGAGAGGTAAGGTGCTACAAGTATTTATGAATCTATGTAATATCTGTCCAACTTTTGGACAATTCATTTTTTCCTTTCTGGCTTCTGTTTTTCTTCTTTTGTTTTCTTAGGTCATTTAAATTCATTTTCTATTGTCTTTCTATTGCCTCTCTGAAGTCTATACTCTCTTATTTTTATACTAGAGGCCCAGTGCACACACTTTGTGCAGGGGGGTGTCCCTTAGCTCAGCCTGCACCTTCTCACAATCCAGGACTGCTGTCTCCTAACGGCTCGCCTGCCTGTCTGCCTGACCGCCCCTAACCACTCACCTGCCTGCCTGATCGCCCCTAACCACTCATCTGCCTGCCTGATCACCCTCTAACTGCTCCCCTGCCAGGCTGATCGCCCCCAACTACCCTCCCCTGCAGGCCTGGTCACCCCCAACTGCCCTCCTCTGCAGGCCTGGTTGCCCCCAACTGCCCTCCCCTGCTGGCCTGATTGCCCACAACTGCCCTCCCCTGCTGGCCTGTTCGCCCACAACTGCCCTCCCCTGCCGGCCATCTTGTGGTGGCATGAGGGCGTTGCGTGATGGTGCGAGGACCACCTAGGCTTTTATTAGTATAGCTAGATGTTTCCCCATAGCTCCTCCAACATTGGCTTTTATAATTCTAATTTATTTTTGCAAGTATAAGAATAATGTAACACCATAAATACACATAGGAAATTTAATTTGCATTTTAATGGTGAAAGTTAACATTTTCCTCTATATTAACTATTTGTTTCTATTTGCATAAACAATCTATTCGTATCCTTTGACTACTGTGCAGTGGAAATTCACAGTCTTTATCTATTTTATTCCTTTACATTTTTTCTTGAAAATAAGTATACAGTAGGTCCTCGGGTTACGTCGGAGATCCGTTCCTACAGTGCGATGTAACGCGATTTTTGCCGTAAGTCGGAACCCACCTACATAAGCACCTTCGTCACTCACACGGAGCACATACACAGCAGTAATGAAGTGAAACAGTAAAAAAATGTAAAAGAAAGATAACAATTCCTGACCTTTACTTGTGGTAAATAAATAATAAAAAACATAAAGCACATACGTACATACATCGAAATGACAGAACTTCTTTTTTTTATAAATAAATGGGAGATGGCAATGTAACCATGAAATGACATACGTCAAGTCCGACGTAACCCGAGGACTATCTGTATCTTATCTTGCTCTTCTTATGGTTTAGACTTTTATTATTGTGTTAAAGTTCTAACTATTGCATGAATCACTTGCTGCAACTCCTATTAACACTTATAATTCTGTTTTTTCTCATCTATTACTATATTTTGGTCTCACAGTTTTCTCCTCTATATTGTTTTTCTCTTCTGTGATTGAAGTTGGCTTTGACAATTGTTTTTGTTTAATAAAAGCAATTTTTAAAAATAAACTTTTATCTTTATAATTTTTAAATTAGCTTTATCAGTATTTTTTATCCTCTATTAAAGGTTCAAATATTTTAAGAATCTTGACTGAGCTATATTTATGTCTGCTCTTTGTCCTTCCTTGCCCACTCTCTTGCTAACTGAATGCTTCATCTTTGTAAATGTAAGATTTCAACTTCTAGACTTTGAGAATCCAATCCAAGATAATATAATCTAAAAAAGTGACTTTGTAATTTAGTTTTCAGTGTGGACAACAAATCAAGGAATTAAGAGCACAGCATGAAGAAAATATTAAAAAGTTAGCAGACCAGTTTTTGCAGGAACAAAAGGTAAATTAAAAAAAGATACTTAAATTAAAATATATTCTTGTTATAAATATTGTAATTTAGAAATTAAAATATGTACTTTTGTCATAAAACATTGTATTTTTTAAGTATTCTGGACTGCTTAATTCTAAAAATGACCTGCAGTGGCTTTATTGCTGAGTAAATTAGATATTTGCAAAAACATAACCATAACTCTTAAAACTAATTTTGAGCTAAACATCTCTTATCTGGTTTTTTAAAATTCTCACCTGAGGATATGCTTATTGATATATTTTTTTAAAGAATAGTTTATTTATTTTTAGAGAGAGAGGAACAGAGAAGAGAGAGACATTGATGTGAGAGCATAACATCGATTGGCTGTCTCCTGCATGCCCCCTACCAGGGATTGAGCCTGCAACCCAGGCATGTGTCCTGACTGGGAAGTGAACCAGCAACCCCTCGGTGCACGGGACAACACCCAACCAACTGAGCTACACCATACAGGGCTAAAAATATTTTTTGGTGTTAATGTATTTCTCAGATTGTAAAGTGCAAAACATTTTACTGAAAAATCAATTACTTCCTATTTTATGCTTTTTAGAACCAGAAAAATAATTGAGAAACTTTCCCCTTAATTATAAATCTCTGTTACTCTGAATTCCTTTTTTAAAATATAGAAATGAAACACTAGTCACTACTTGGATTCATATTCTAGGGGTAGAAAATTATTTTATTAATTTATCCATTTTCAGTTGACATATATTACAAAGGCCCTGCTAGAAATGGAGGGAATTTGTCTAAAGATTAGGACATTCATTGTTTTCCACCTTGTAATCTCATCTAACTAGCAATGGTTTGTATAAAGTCTTGTGATTTAATGTAAAGAGAGGGTGAACAGTGAAAAATATTTATCTTGCTCTTTGGTAGCATCTTCTCTAAAGGACTAGAAGTTAAGGAAACCAGATTTTCATTGTTAGCTGTTTCACTGTTTTACAGCATGATACTGAGGGCATCGTTTTTTCTGTATTTCATTTTTTGAATCTACAAAGTGAAATAGCTGCTGCCTGTCTGCAGTCTACCTTGAAGAGATGTGAGGATAGATTGCTGGAAATGGCAGGCCTGAGTAGAGACGTTGAAAACAAGCAGAAGGTATTATTGAGATATTCGATAGAGGAGCATAGTAAAACACAGAAGGAAGGGGAAGAGAGGTTGCTGTTGCATTTGTTCTATTAGAAGCCCATATCAATAATAGGGTAAGCCCTGGCCAGTGTGGTTCAGTTGGTTGGGTGTCGTCCCATGCACTGAAAGGTTGCCAGTTCAATTACAATACAGGTCAGAGCACATGCCCAAGTTTTGGGATCGATCTTAGGTGGGGTGCGTGCAGGAGGCAGCTGATCAATGTTTCTCACATTGATATTTCTCTCTCTCTCTCTCTCTCTCTCTCTCTCTCTCTCTCTCTCTCTCCTCCTCGCCCTTTCTTTCTCTCTAAAAATCAATTGAAAAATCTTATTTTAAAAAATGGGGTAAGTTTGCTATCTTCTGTTCTTCCAAGAACACAGATGAGAACTTTACTCTTTTTTTCAGGCAAGTGTAGTTCTCTCTGTCCTTCTATACTGGACTATTTTTATATTATTAATTAACTAACGTACTCTTCAATAATTTGTTGACGTTATCCTGCCCTGAATGGAACAGGTGGGGAGGAGGGAGATTCTTAGAGACTCCTTTCTAGGGTAACACAGTAGCCCTTACCCTTTAGACCAGCTGCCTAGTTCTACTCCCCATTCTTTATTCCCTATTCTGCAACTACTTTAGCAAGGTGATTCTGTGAGTTTTGGGTTGCTTTTTTTTTTTCCAGAGGAGCAAATTCAGTGTAAGCTATATGAAACAAGTATAAGTTGTATTCAGGGATTTTTTTAAATTAAATCTTTATTGTTCAGATTATTACATTTGTTCCTCTTTTTTCCCCCATAACTCCCCTCCTCCCAGTTCCCACCCCACCCTCGGCCCTCACTCCCCACCCATTGTCCTCATCCATAGGTGCACAATTTTTGTCTAGTCTCCTCCTGCATCCCCCACACCCCTTTCCCCCCCAAGAATAGTCAGTCCATTCCCTTTCTATGTCCATGATTCTATTATAATCACCAGTTCATTCTGTTCATCAGATTATTTATTCACTTGATTTTTAGATTCACTTGTTGATAGATGCGTATTTGTTGTTCATAATTTGTATCTTTACCTTTTTCTTCTTCTTCCTCTTCTTAAAGGCTACCTTTCAGCATTTCATATAATACTGGTTTGGTGGTGATGTACTCCTTTAGCTTTTCCTTATCTGTGAAGCTCTTTATCTGACCTTCAATTCTGAATGATAGCTTTGCTGGATAAAGTAATCTTGGTTGTAGGTTCTTGGTATTCATCACTTTGAATATTTCTTGCCACTCCCTTCTGGCCTGCAAAGTTTCTGTTGAGAAATCAGCTGACAGTCATATGGGTATTCCCTTGTAGGTAACTGAGTTTCTTTCTCTTGCTGCTTTTAAGATTCTCTCTTTGTCTTTTGCTCTTGACATTTTAATTATGATGTGTCTTGGTGTGGTCCTCTTTGGATTCCTTTTGTTTGGGGTTCTCTGCGCTTCCTGGACTTGTAAATGTATTTCTTTCACCAGGTAGGGGAAGTTTTCTGTCATTATTTCTTCAAGTAGGTTTTCAATATCTTGCTCTCTCTCATCTTCTGGCACCCCTATAATTCGGATGTTGGTATGCTTGAAGTTGTCCCAGAGGCTCCTTACACTATCTTTGTATTTTTGGATTCTTTTTTCATTTTGCTTTTCTGGTTGGGTGTTTTTTGCTTCTTCGCATTTCAAATCTTTGACTTGATTCTTGCGCTCCTCTCGTCTGCTGTTGGCAGTCAGTGTATGCTTAATTTCTAGTTGGTCCTTTATCACAACATCGAGGGTCTCACTAGATTTCTTGAGGATCTTACTACATTTATCAGCGGTTTCTAGAAAGTTCTTGAAAAACCTTAAAAGTGTGGTTTTGAATTCTATATTCAGTAGTTTGCTTTCCTCCATTTCTGTCATTTGTGTCCTGTTTCCTTGTCTCGGCATTTTTTATGCTTCGCTGTGTCGATAGAGTGGCTTTCTGTGCTAAGTGTCCTATAGGGCCCGGTGGCTCAGCCTCCCCAATTACCTGAGGTAGACACTCTTGGTGCACCCCCTTGTGGGCTTTGTGCACAGTCTTATTGTAGTTAAGCCTTGATTGTTGTAGGTAACACTGGGGGGATTTGACCTCAGGCCAATTGGCTGTGAGAATCAGCTGTATCTACAGTGGGAGAACTTCTGTGCTGAAGACACCCTTCTGGGGCAAGACTTGCTTCAGTGGGGCTTTGGTGCTCACTGAATCTGCCCCCTGAGTGTGTTCCTTATGGATCTGCGGAGTTATAATTGGATGGTCCCACTCTGACCACTGGGTACACTGGCTCTTGGATCTAAGGAGGTGCTAATCTAGTCTCTGCCTGAGGCTACCCTGCAGAAGCCAGCTGTAAAGCAATGCAAGTTGCCCTGGGGCCTTGGGCCAGCTGCAGTATGTTAAGTAATTTTCAGATTACAAAGGGCGGGGCCTTTCATATGCAAAAGCCTCAGTGCACGGCTTGGGCAGGGTGGAGCCCCAGGGGATCAACAGGGTGGGCAGAGCGAGCAGTATGGCTGCTCTCAGTCCTGTCCTCAGAGGCCCCGGCAATCGCTGCATGTGCCTCCGAGAGAAAGCTGCCCTCGAGTTCCGACCGATGCCAGACAGTCCCGTTTCTCCCGTATGAGTCTGGGTCCCCAGAGACTCGCCCAGAACTGGAGCTCAGAGCCTGAGACTCCCTCCCAATTGAAAAAGACAATCATGTCCTCAGCCATCAGCCCTCTCCGCATGCACCTCCACACCTTTGTATTTTACTTCCGCACCACACCTCCTCTGAGTCTCGGTATGCTTTTCTCTTTCCTTCTAGTTGTAGAATTTCCACTCAGCCAGCCTTCCTGTGGTTCTGGATGATGTCTGTTCCGTCTTTTAGTTGTATTTTTGAAGTGGTTGTGCGAGGCAGCAATCTCAGGTGTTTACCTATGCCGCCATCTTGGTTTCTCCGGGATTTTTTTTTTTTAACCAAATAATTTAGAAGTTACTCTGGAGAAGGAGCAAATTCAGTACAACCTGCTTCCTGTTTTCATTCTATCCATAGGAAAAGTGGTTATTACATTTAAAAATGGTTGAAAAATCAAAAGACTATTTTATGATGGGAAAATTATAAGAAATTCACATTTTCATGTCTACAAATATATATTCTGGTAATATAGTCACACTCAATTGTTTACTGCTTTCATGCTACAAAGGAAGAGAAATTGTTGTAGACCAGAGGAGACTAAGGAGACCTGAAGACTTAAATGCAATGTAGTATCCTGGATTGGATCCTGGAACAGAAAAAGGACTTAGTGTAAAAAGTGATGAAATCTAAATAAAGTCGCCGAAACCGGTTTGGCTCAGTGGATAGAGCGTCAGCCTGCGGACTGAAGGGTCCCAGGTTCGATTCCGGTCAAGGGCATGTACCTGGGTTGCGGGCACATCCCCAGTGGGAGATGTGCAGGAGGCGGCTGATCGATGTTTCTCTCTCATCAATGTTTCTAACTCTCTATCTCTCTCCCTTCCTCTCTGTAAAAAATCAATGGAATATATTAAAAAAAAAAAATCTAAATAAAGTCTGGAGTTTGGTTAGTAGTATACTAATGTTAGTTTCTTAGTTTGCAAATGTGCCATGCTAATATAAGATGTTAACATTAAAGGAAATTAAGTGAGGGTTAATTAGTTTTCTGTGAAGTTAAAGTTATTTCAGAATAAAAAGTTTATTTAAAAAGCAATTAGGTGCCCCTTCGCCAAATTATCAGCATTGCACTTAGAAAACACTTTTATTTGAAGGTAAGGGAGGGAGGGAAGGTGGATGGGTGGAAGGTAATCAACCATGGATTATGCATGTATGTATATATGCATAACCCACGGACACAGACAGTAGGGTGGTGAAGGTCTGGGGCAGGGGCAAGGGGCCCGGGGTCAGACTGGAGGGGATCAATGGGGGGAAAATGAATGAATAAATAAAGAAAGAAAACAAAATACTCTTATTTTCTAAGAATATTTAATATTGCCCGGCCAGTGTGGTTCAGTGGTTGAGTGTCGACCCATGAACCAGGAGGTCACAGTTTGATTCCTAGTCAGGGCACATGCCTGGGTTATGGGCTTCATCCCCAGTAGGGGCATGCAGAAGGCAACTAATCAATGATTCTCTCTAATCATTTATGTTTCTATCTCTCTCTCCCTCTCCCTTCCTCTCTTGGAAATCAATAAAAACATATTTTTAAAAAGAATATTTAGTCCTAGCTGGTTTGCTCCATGGTTAGACTGTTGACCCACAGATTGAAGGGTCTTAGGTTCAATTCCAGTCAAGGGCACATACCTCAGTTGCAGGCTCAATCCCCAACACCTCTCGTGGGGACATGTGGGGGAGGCAACCAATCAATGTGTCACATTGATGTCTCTCCGTCTCCCTTCCACTCTCTCTAAATAATGGAAAAAATATCCTTGGGTGAGGATTAACAACAACAAAAAGTTACAGTCATTAATAATACATCAAAGTGACATTGTTAACTATTTTAAATGGAAAAGTGTTTTTGAACAGTAGTTCATTGATTTTTAAGTTTTGTTTAATATTGTTTGTTTTATTCACATCTGCAATGAAGTGGAATACTGTAAAAATAGTCTATGATATAACATTATAGCAAAAATACAGAGATGCAGGATAGATGCTCAGGTTGTGCCTCACTGATTTTCTCACCTATGTCTTTCATGCCGACATGTACAAAAATTTCAGTTTATCATCTCACTCATCAACAATTAAGCTCTGAGATTTGGCTATTGTTTACAAGTTCCCAGATGTGGGAGTGAGAAAGACTGTCATTTGAATTCATTCTCCACAATTCTCTAGCTTTGTAACCTTGGATAAGCTCCTTAACTTCTTTAAGCCTCAGTTTTGTTTTTCCTCAGAGTATTTATTTGTCTCTGCTAAGAGGATAAATTTGAAAGCAATTTGTAAACTATGAAGCACAGTACAAATGTTTGTTGTTGATTTTATCTGCCAGGTACACTGGAATTGTCAAAGTAACTTTTTTCTTTATTTTGACAAGTTCTTATAATTTGGCTCTTGTAATTCTAGATTTCCTATAGATTTTTAAGTGCTATTGTTTTTTTTATAACATTACTTAATGATGACATTGCATAGTGCTTTAGAGTTGACCAACCATGTATAAATGCATTAAATATTAAGTGTAAGGACCTATATGGCAACTCAAGCATATCTACTTGATCTTTGTGTCTCCCGATTTTCTACTTGAGGCAGTTCAATATAAAAGAGAAAACTGGTTCACCAATAGAATTGAGTCAGGTCTAACTATATACCCAAAGATTCAAGTTTCCAAGGAGATGATATATTTAGGAGCAGGTTGGAAGGAGCACTGACCTGGTGTATTGGTCTGCCATTACTACTTATGCTTCGGTGGTCAGTGCACTTGGGAAGAAATTGCCCTGTTTACCACCCTTGCTGTTTCTACTTGGGGGGAAAAAACCTGACAATGTCAGTAGCCATTTGTCACACTTGAGGGGCACCTGTGTGCCAATCTCCTGCTGTGTGCCATCCTGCTGGATTATAACATTTGCCTATAAAGAACCCACCCTGCCCACAGCACCTAGGACAGAGCTTAACTGTATGCCTCCCACAGTAACCTACAATGCTTGGCAAGACTCTCTTCTTGCAGAATCACTCTTTTAGCATAGCCAAAGAGAATTACCTCTGTCTAATATTTTAGGCCATTTACTACAATTAGAGACTTTAAAATGTATTGGTTCTTCTTTGACTTCGTATCAGGTATAAAAACTGAACAGAAAATAACATTATATCCCCCATCTCCAAGTGTTTGAAATTTAGACCCAGAGTATAGGTTTCAGAAAATGAACTGTTTCAGAACATTTAGTTAATAGTTATGTCAATGATGTAACATTGTTAGCTGAAAAATATTTACTGTTACTAAATCTTTATCTAACAGCAAGAGGCCCACAAGTTGGAATTAAAAGATGGAAATGAATTGGGTATAAACAATCATGCAGTACCTAAAAATGTTCCACAAGTAGGTGAGAAGGCCGAAGAGAAGAATGAAGAACCCTCAAACAACCATATTGCACATGGGAAAGGTATTATAGTTATTTTGTTTTGTGTTAATAGGATATTGACTTTTCTCATTTTGAGGTTAACATTTTCAATCATAAAGGATATTGTTTGATTTTAGTTCAATTATGATTAGGTATCTGTATTGTTTCAAATTTAGATCCTTTGACTGAGAAAAATTAGTAAGTTATTTTAGAATTACAACTATGTCCAAAGCAAGATATAAAGATACTAGAGGCCCAGTGCATGAAATTCGTGCACAGGAGTTGGGGGTCCCCTCAGCCTGGCTTGCACCCTTTCCAATCCGGGACCCCTTGGGGGATGTCCGACTGCCTCTTGCAATCTGGGACTGCTGGCTCCTAACCACTCGCCTGCCTGCCTGCCTGATTGCCCCTAACCCCTCTCCCTGGCTGCTTGATTGCCCCTAACCCCTCTCCCTGGCTGCTTGATTGCCCCTAACCGCCTCTGCCTCGCCCTGCACCCAGAACCCAGGATTCCCTCCTCCAGGTGGTCACAGGCAACTGGGACCCGGGCTTCCCTCCCTCTGGCCGGCCGCAGGCACCCAGGACCCCGGCCGGCTTCGCCTGGGCTGGCCGCAACCACAGGTGGCCAGGACTGCAGAGTGGGTGGCTTGTCCCTCTCTCAGGCCACAGGCACAGGTGCAGCCACTGGCGCCCGGGACCTCGGGGCAGGCGGCTTGTCCCTCTCCTGGGCCGTAGCCTGACTGGTCCCCATTCCTCTCTCGCGAGCTCATTTGTGCCTGGCTGGTCCCCATTCCTCTCTCCCCAGTGTTGAGTGTCTGAGCCGTTACAGCATGATGACCATTTGCATATTAGCTCTTTATTGTATAGGATTTGGTTAGTGTAGCTTATTGCTTTAGAAACTATTACCTTCCTTCAAAATAGTTTTAATTTATGTAAAGAAAAATATAGAATTATATCTTTTGATACTTGGGCAGAACAAATCAAACCAGGTGGTGATGCAGGAATGCCTGGAATAGAGGAGAATGACCTTGCAAAAGTTGAAGAACTTCCCATTGGTAAGTAAAAGTTAGTAGAGTATTTAACTAAAGTGACCATATTATTTTTCATGTGACCCTATTCTTTTTGAGTAACACTTGAGAAAATTCACAGATATCTGTATGATTTATATTTTCACTTAATTAACCACCCATAAAGTACTTTTTTTTGCCTTAATAAGAATCAACCATATTTGAACCTTTCTTTTTTGACTCAAGAGTTATTGTTCATAACATTTATGCTATATTAGAGCCATTTATGTTTACTAAAAGTATATATGGCTTGTTTCTTTCGTACTAAATGCTCCCAGATTGCTGTGATGTTGGTGTGCTTTAATATGGCATAGCAATATACTTATATAGGTTTTTAGAACTTGCCTTGTCCTTTCAGTTAATTACCTCAAACTTTAAATAATTTTTTTACTGTTTTCTTTCTTCTATTTTTGTTAATCCTCACCAGAGGATATTGTTTCCATTGACTTTTAGAGAGAGTGGAAGGGAGGAGGAGGGACAGAGAGAGGAACATTGATGTGAGAGAGACACATCGATTGGTTGCCTCCTGCACACATTTAGGCTGGGGCCAGGGATCGAGCCTGCAGCCAAGGTACTTGCCCTTGACCCAAATTGAATCTGCGACCCTTCAGTCCGCAGGCCAAAGGGTCGCAGTCGATTCGGGTCAAGACCAAGTACCTTTCTAACTGCTGAGAAACTGGCTAGGCGGGTGACTTTTTTTTATGGCCACTTCTGCTCAATGTGTATCTCTTTCTTCATTAATGTGTCTGTTTCTTATCTATTTCCATTTGAAGTCTGTGTCACTGCTGCTTTCCTAATCCCATTCATGTTTGGTTTTTTTGCATGTCTGCTTTTCTTGCCATTTCTATGTTTCTTGGCTATCATAAGCATCCCTCCCTGCCGACTCCAATTTATGGTAGAAAATTGAAAGTAATAGCATGTCTGTGGTTATTCATGGCTGTTTTTATTCCTTTCAATCTTGGTGATTACTTCTGTGGTTACAACTTACTGTATGTGGCTGAAGTTGCTGAGTGTTTGAGGTCCAAATGAAGTACTGGGTTTTTTATTTGTATCGTTTTGTTATCTTCTCAAATTCTTTCATGTCTGTTTTCTTTTGGGTTATCAGTCATAATATACTCCCCTAAAATAAAGGTAAGGACAAGAGCAATAACGCAAGTTTAAAAATATGGAGTTAGAATGAGCATGATTTGTTTGTAAGGCAATGAAGTTATCTAGTGATTCTTAAGGTGTGGTACTTGGATCAGCAGTATCAGCATTACCTAGGAACTTCTTAGAAATTCAAATTCTTGAAATAGAGCTCAGCAGTGTGTGTTTTAACAAGCCCTCCAAGTGGTTTTTGATCTATGCTAAAGTTTTAGAACCACTAGCTCCAGCCGTGGGCAAACTACGGCCCGCGGGCCGGATCCAGCCCGTTTGAAATGAATAAAACTAAAAAAAAAAAAAGGCCGTACCCTTTTATGTAATGATGTTTACTTTGAATTTATATTAGTTCACACAAACACTCCATCCATGCTTTTGTTCCGGCCCTCCGGTCCAGTTTAAGAACCCATTGTGGTCCTCGAGTCAAAAAGTTTGCCCACCCCTGACTGCTAGACATTAATTAAGGAAATGTTGAAAGCAAAGACCATGTATTCTTCTCAATTTCTGCAGCACTTACTCTATTCCTAGACTTACTGAGTTTTAGATTGATTAATCTCTTTTACATTGCCCTTAAAAGGTTTATTTATTGTTCATATTACATTTGCTTCAGGTTAGATGACTGTCTTTGCGGTTCTCCTTCAAGCATTGTCCCCTTTCATTATTTCAAGCCACCGTCTTCATATATAGCCTGCTAAGTTGTAGCACAAAGGGAAGACAGATTGTAGGTGATTTGTACAGATTTAATCACCATACTTGGAAGTGTCACCCACAGTCACCTACATTCTCATGGTCAGAACCCAGTCCTATGGCCCCTCACCATAAGGAAGGCTGATCTTCCTCTGTTTCCAGGAAAAATATAATGAAATATGATCACATAGCATTGTCTCTGCCACACCAAAGTCTTAGAAGAATAAAATGTGCCACTAACCATATCTTATAGATGGACTTTTCTATTTTTTTCTTTATCTCTTTTTCTTCTCTATAGTTTCTTTGCTCTCTTCCTTTATATCATGTTACGCTGCGCCAGAATATAGTGTAATTAGTGGTGGTGAATGAAAAGGTATCTCTTTCCCTGTTGCCTTCATTTCTTAAGGGAGAAGAAAGTCCCTACTACAAGTATGTACATCTTTGTAGTAAGCCCTTGGTACAACTTAAAATTTCCCTCTTCAAAAAATAAATCTCAACTTATTATCTTATTTATATTTAGTTTTTATTTAAATGTGAGCAACTTAGAATAGCATATTTTTATTGCTTCGCCTAATCCAGTGGTTCTCAACCTTCTGGCCCTTTAACTACAGTTCCTCATGTTGTGACCCAACCATAAAATTATTTTCGTTGCTACTTCATAACTGTAATGTTGCTACTGTTATGAATAGTAATGTAAATATCTGATATGACAGGCACTATTCTAAATGTTGGGAATAGAGTGGAGAATAAGATAGAGTTTCTACTGTCTTTTATTCTTCTCAACCTTCTGGCCCTTGATCACCAAAATTTATTGATTCTATCTATATAAAAAGGTATCACTATATCTGAAGGGATTTTTTTACTTATTCATTCATGAATAGTAATGTAAATATCTGATATGACAGGCACTATTCTAAATGTTGGGAATAGAGTGGAGAATAAGATAGAGTTCCTGCTGTCTTTTATTCTCGTCAGATTTACTAGTATTGATCACCAAAATTTGTGATAGGTGGTACAATGTATCAATTAGTAGCCACAAATTAATTATATGCCAACTACAAGGATTACAGAATTAGGATAAGCATCATAGGATTAGTGCAATATGGTGGTTGGTTTTAGAAATCATAAAATCAATGGGAATAATATGGATCTATTTTTTCTTTTAGTTTTAAAGAAACCCCCTATTTCTATTTCTCAATATGGTAGTCATCAAGCAATCTCCCATCATCCAACTGGACAACCTCTCTCTCCTAATATGGTTCCAGGTATGAAGTCTTATTCTTAAATTTTTACTTGAAAACTAAATTCTTGGTCATGTATTGTTATTTAGTGAATAAAACATGTCATTTAACAGCATAGTGAAGTAATTTTCTTCTAGTTAATGTTATATATTTTCAAATGACTGATAAAAGCTCAGGGAAGTGATCATTTAAAAATGCATGCTATCTAATAGATTCCTAAAAGCAGAAGAATTACTTGTTTTGCCACTCTGGACTATATTCCCCTTCATCTCTGTTGTTCTATATGTACGTATTTACCTTCTTCAAAATGTGTTTAAATTTATCTCACAGAGTCCTTCTATAAATTACTAGATTCACCTATTTTAAACTCTCTACTCTGTACTTATGAATGTTTCAAATCTCACATTGGTTGTAAGATTTGGTTGAAGGAATTATAATCAATCTTAAAAAAAAAAAAAAAGCCTACCTAACTACCCAATGCCAGACAACAATGTGCCTTAGCTTTTCTAAAGCAGGTCTTGTGAAATTCTCCTGCAAAATAATGACTTTAACTTGATGTTTTTCTATCATAGATTCTCATGTAAATCATAATGGAAACCCTGGAACTTCAAAACAGAACCCTCCCAATCTTCTTCAGCGTTTAATTCCAGGCCCAAACTTGGAGAGTGAACCCAGAATTCAAGGTGATACACTGAAGCAGGCCACCAAGGATAGAGCCGGTGATTTCCATAAGTTAAAGCAAAGTAAGAATGAGTTGATGAATATTATGCTGAAAGAGTTCTTTAAATACAATTTTTGTTTACAAGGCTCAATTAAGGTCTTTATTACTATAATCTCTAACTAATGACTGTATAGTAAAGCCATATACATATAAACAGAAAGTATAATGGTGGCAAAATGTAAAAGTAAAGCAGGTTTTAAATGGATAGAGATTTTAAAGAAGAGTTTTAAAAGCTTCTCATTTGCCAGTGTTCAATAATAAATTTCAGGTGAGTTCATTTTTTTTAAATGCTATTAGTTCTTATGACTAAAATTTTTTTGGAGAAGTGAAAAAAGATATATTTTACTAGGCTAGTGAGTGAAAACTTTAATTATAAGGAACAGAATATAAATAGTTTTGAAAAATGAATTCTGGGGGAAATATAGACCTGGGGAGACTGCCATAGTGGATGTTTCTTACTGCTTTCTTTTTCATTCCCTACAGTTGCAATTTACTTCATTTAGGTTTTAGGAGAGAAGTGAAAGAAATTGAATATATTCATAGTACTATGTAATAAAGTATGACTGCTTAATTGTTTCAGAGTTATTGATTTTGATAAAAGGATAATACCACAAAAAATTCTGGTAGTAGAGAATTTGGGGCAGGACAGTGTCTCTTAAACCATATGACACAGTTCCCTTAAACTATACTTTTTTTATTTCCTCTGCTGATTTCAAGGCTTTTTCCCTTCAACTTCTGAACAGACAGAATATCTAAAAACTCCGATTTGCCTTTGTTAGCTTTTTATGATGGCTTCTATGTTCAGAGCAGTGTTTAGGCAGCTATTTGTACACAGGTTGCTTGTAAAATGAGAACTGCACAGTGTTACATTTTTTTAATCTATTCAAGATATTTTTATTGGTCTTATGATAGTTATTTATATTTCAGCATCTATTATCAACATATAGTTTGCATGCATTCAGTTGACTTTTCTTCCTTGTTACTTAAAAGCATATTTGGGTATCTTGACTAAAGTAATATATGAAAAACTTTTATTTATAAGAATGTGGCTAGTATTTTAAATACAGTGAAAAAATATTTCCTCAAAATTTTGTTAGGATATTGCCTCAAAACTTTTATCTCAACAAAAAGAGGTTTAGAGTAAGGGTATAACTAAATGAAATATCTTAATTTGATTACTTAAGATTTTTTTCTAAACTTATAGTTTATTCCATAAAATTTTTTATTTGCCTTACATGTTGTTTGTTTATTTTTACCAATCTTTGGGCAAAGAATGTGATTGGAAAGTAATTGCCAGAAAATGATCACTCTGTACAACTTATTTTTAAAAGAATCTAAACTCTTGCCCGACTGTTGTGGCTCAATGGTTGAGCCTCGAACTATGAACCAAGAGGTTGTGGGCTCAATCTCCAGTAGGGGGCATGCAGGAGGGAGCTGATCAATGATTCTCTCTCATCACTGATGTTTCTATCTCTCTCTCCCTCTCTCTTTCTCTCTGAAATCAATAAAAATATATTTTTATAAAAAACACTCCAAATTCTTTTCATTGTATATATTTCAGTACAAATATTATTGTGAGAGTTAAAATTAAGGTGAGCACTATTTTATGATTTACTTGGACATTATTTCATACATAATTTTAACCTATCAAATAGTTACATAGTTGTCATTTTAAATGTATTTGTGTACTCACACACATATACATATATCCTGTTGTGTTTAGGCAATAATAGTAGTGTTCATTTAGCTCTATTCTTTTATTTTTTTTTAAATATATTTTATTGATTTTTTACAGAGAGGAAGGGAGAGAGATAGAGAGC